GGCTCGAGTGAAATCCCGACATTTCCCTTCGGTGGCGAGGAAAAATACTATTTTTTTTTCTTTTCTTTTTTTTTCACCACTTGCACAGTGCCGTCGGTGTTTTCCCTAATTTTGCTCATCCTCCCAACTTGTTCTTTTCCTTTCTCTCCTGTATACGTCAACGCGTGTACAGCTCAGGATATCCTCTTTCACCGTTTGCACTGTCCTCGCCGTCTCGCACGGTAAAACGCAACGCCAAGTTTTGCGCAAAACTGACCTACGTAAATTTATGTGTATGTGTACCCGCTGTTAACAAAAAAAAAATTTCGCTGGTGCTGGCCAACTCGGGAGTACACCCTAGGTATCCCATGGCAGTGGGATATGAGTGTAATTTGTAAAAAGGAGCCCCCATGCACCCCCTCTTTTTTTCTCGAGTACACGCAAGATGCGACTCGGAAAGTATATATTATATTCATTAAAAGCACTCGCTCCCTTTTGATATAACCCTTGAAAAGAAGTTATACGTAGTGTACATTATGTGCATTTAAAAAAGAAAAAATAATGCAAGGGACTTCAATTTCCTCGTCTTTCGGATGCACCACATAGAGAGAGCGAGATGAGCCAAAAAGAAGAAAAAAAAAAAAAAAGGATGGCAAAGGAGGAGGAGTACCGAGAGACGGGAAAGAGGAGCATCGGCGTCGAGTGAACGGGAAAACGTCTTTTCGAAATCATTTCTAGGTCGCGCGCACGCGCCTGCACCGCTGCTACTCTCGCGCCCGCGAAACCATATACCATCAAGTTCAGCCCGTTCTCCCACCCCCCCCCCTCTTTATATACTTTACAATGTACATCACCCGTGCTCCCTTTTCCCTCAATATATATATATTATATGGTCGCTGCAGGAGGAGAGTTTTCCCGGGGCGAGAGCTCCTTTTCCTATATGTATACACACGTGATTGATGTATACCTTTCGTGGGATGAAAATTATCTTACCGCGGGGGGGGGGGTAAGGTATACACGTGTACGCGAGAGACGCCACAAGCCACCAGCGTAGTTTTTTTGACTCCCCTTTTCTCTTCCTCCTCCTGCAACTCGATCGAGGTAACCCCGTGCCGTATGTACATTGTTTCCGAAAATCAGGTTGCCAGGTGTCGTACACGCACAAGCGAAAGAGAGCGCAGGAAAACCCTCGGAAAAGCTTCGTTTCTCCCCGCGTTTGTATATACCTACACGTACACATACGTATATATGCATGCACACCTACGGAGAGAGAGAAAAAAAAAAAAAAAAAAAAACGACAGCTCTGCAAGAGAAAGGAGAGCGCGGCTCGTGCGCGAAAAAAAGCGCGTGTGCCGAGAGAGAATGGGAGAAAGCTGCTGATGCCGGCTGCTGCTGTTGGTGGTATACACACGGAGAGCGCGCAAGAAACGCAAGAGATAGAGAGGAACAAAAAGAGAAAGAGGAGAAGGGTAAAAAATGCTATAAGGACTCGTGTGTGTATGTATATATGGATATACATACCTTACACTCTATCTCTCTGTGTGTGTGTGTGTGTTGGCGTGTAACCTAGATTCACCGAGACCTGCTTTCTAGGCGAGCAGCGGCGTTTCTCTTTATCGGCGCTCACATTCGCGAGTGCAGGTAAAACTAAAACCATTTGCCTTCGCTGTGTATACCCTATACCGCGATTGCCGAGAGAAAATGTGTTTTTGTGCACACACATACCTGTTCCTCTGTCTCTCTTTCTTCATTTGTTTATTTTTTTTTTTTTTTTTTGTTTTGTACAGGCGAACGCGCGAGTTTGATTTCTCTTCTTCCCCCCCCCCCATTTTGGTACATCCATATACTTACACACGAGAATCTTCAAAAGCTTCAGCTTATACGGAAATGAGAGGGATGCCCGAGCAAAGGGCAAAGGGGGTCGTTAATATGATAGTGATTGGGAGAGATTGTATTTCTTATTCTTGTATTTGTATCATCACTCCAGTTGTGACAAAAACAAAAAGTTAAAGGCCACTTTTTCTCCCTCCAACACGCGGGTGTGCACCCATATCATATACATTACATATAATATTATATACAGTCATGGGGAGGGCATTGAACAATTGTATGGATTTTTTTTTCCTCCAAGTTTCAAGAAATAAGAGGAAACGGAGAACCTCGTCGTTATTTTGCCGTGCAAGAGCGAGACATATTATACTTACGTTGTAAAATGAATGTATATACTATACACGTAAGTACACGCGGTGGAGCGCGCGGAGATGGACAAGATAGATCAGAGAGCGAGAGAAGACGTAGTAAGAAACAGCGCAGTCGAGAGGAGTGTGGATGATGATGATGGGGAAAAAAAAAGCAACAGCGCTAACGAGCGCGTACGATTTATGCTACATACACACACGTATATACGTATATATACACGTTGCGTCTGGAAGCATAAGCATGTGTTATATGTATATGGAAAGAGGAGAGGAGAGAAAACACGAGAAGGAGGAGGTGGAGGAGAGCGACGTCTGGGGCGAGAAAAGAGAAAGAGCGAGAGATGTGCATGTATATGGTACATATACATATCCTCGCGGCCTCGATTCCTGCGCGCGACCTGTCTTCGTGAAATCGTTCTCGCGCAGAGACCCTGCCCGCTCTTACTTACACCGCGAATGAGGGAAAAAGAGAAGCTACTGCATATCATATAAATATATATAGAGAGAGAGAGAGACAGATGACTTTGTTTATCATCCAATCCGTACAGTGGGTGCAATCAATGATGGAAAACCTATTGAGAGTGATCGACTCGTGGGGGGGTCGTCGCATCTTCTCCCCCTCCATATTTTTCTTACGAGACAATTGTTGGCGTGTATATCTCTCTCGTTATAATGTCGTACAGTCAAAAGAAACACCAGAATCTGGTTTCCGCTCGTGGCCCACTTTCCTGTTCCGCTATGCGCTTCTCTTCTGGTGACTGTTTATATTATCCACTTACGTATATACGTATATATAATATTTATACCCCCACTATACTGCAAATGTGCGGGATGTATTGTTATTGTTATACAGTTGCTCGGGTTTTCATCAGCAATTTCCTTTTCTCCCCCGTTCTTAAAAATCCCAACCCCATCGCTCGAGACACCCGAGCGTCCTTCCTTCAGATTTTTCTCTAACTTTGCCAAAAATACAGGTCGTAAGTTCTTTTTTTTTTTTTTTTTCTGTTTCACGGTAACTCATGCACAGATTGTTTATTTTATTTTATTTTTTCACTTGCTTTTCGTTTCTCCGTTGATTCCGGGAGTGCAAGCAAACTCTGACGAAGCCCCAAAAAAATTACACGCATACCTAATTGTAGTGTACCTTTATCAAGCGAGCGCGCGTATAATCGCTGTTGCAGTATAGGTACTTACTTCGTAGAGTGTCGCTCGCGATACATTGTATATATATATATATGCACGCGTATTGAATGAGGGGGTAGGGGGGTGACACGCGATCCTTGTTCAACAGCGCGAACACGTGTATCCTGCCAACAGAGAGAGAGAGAGAGAACAACTTGCTCCCTATTTATCCCCTGAATCGAATTAAAGAGAGCTGCGGTGAGCGTTTCAACGGAGAGAGCCATTGAACCTCGTGGGTTGAGGTGCGACAGTTTTTTTTTTTTTTTTTTTGTTGCACAGTCGTGACTTTTTTTCCCTATCTGTGATGCACTAAGCAGATAATTCGAGCATATTATTGTGATGCCGTATTGCTAAAATAACGGGTCCTTTCGAACTATCTCTCCTCTCGTTCCGGATCCCTATGTATACTTTTGAAAATCTGGTCTTTGACTTTTTTTTATAATGTATTTAGGAGCTTTGTTTTATTATCATTATTATTATTATTTTTTTTTTTTCGTTTACGGTAATATTTTCCCTGTTGGGCGAAATGTTACATGTGTTGCCAAGAGTTTTTTTTGTTTTTTTGTTTAATTATGTGTATGTACAGAAAATGTATCTGGAAGATTCGACCTTTTAATTTATTGCCAGGGGACATTTAACTTTAGCGATGTCCCAAAGCTCATTTGTAGAAAGCGATGCGGAAATACAAAAATCTCATGTTATCACCAATTTAATATCCAAAGACCACTAATACCTATTGTCGGGCCAAACGAAAAATACTGCCAAAAGGACCCCTTGAGAAATGAATGAAGAAAAAAACAAAAAAAAAAACCACGTACAAGTAGCATCAGATGGAAGACTCAGCCCGATTCATTTTAAAGGCCAATGCACGCGGCAGGTCGTCGTTTTTATGCGTATACACACACATACACACACATGTGGGTATACGTGAATGTTCCTTAATTGAAATTGGGTCAGGAAGGTTTGTTTTGGACCTGCGCCTCGGCATTCAGGTTTTTATGGGTGCGCGATGGAGACCTCTCGCGTGTGTAGATATACAATCGCATGTTTAAATGCTGGAGACGACGCGCGTTTTGCCATTTTAAAAGCAAAGTGGGCCTTTGAGACTACGTTTTTTTTTTTTTTTTTTTTTTTTTTCACCATTAAAACAAAAGTAGAGAAAGATGTGCGGTTGATAAAGTGATGTCGCAACTGCGAGAGATTGTTTCTCTCGAGCTTTATTGTCCTCCCCTCGTTCTTTTTGAGAAATCCGATGCAAGATTGCGCAAAAATACTTGCACGCGGATGGACTCGAAGGTGAGACGCGCTGGGAATGACGAGGCAACTGCAACTGAGAGGAAGGATTTCCAACAAAATTAGAAACGCGCGCAGGACGTTTCTTTGGGCTTCTCCTTGGTCGTCCTTTTAAGCATCAAGTAGCCTCGTTTCCGCGTGTGCGTGCCCTTGCGGCGAATAAAAGCGATTCTCCATCTTTATATGCACCTTTCATGCTTAATTCTTTGACAATGGAAGGAAAAAAAGTCAAAGACCCGTTGCGCCGTTAAACTCACAGCCGAAAAGACTGTTTCAACCCGCCCGAAAATACGGTTTTAGGGAAAAAAAAAAAAAAAAAGAAAAAGAAAAGAAAAAGAAATCTCGTACCTGACCATGCTGTGCGCGGTCACGCGACTCGGCGCACCAGTACTGGTATCCTCGAGGAGTCCCGTTTTCACCGCTTTACTCGCTATTCATCTCTTTTAAACGCACGCGCATACATCAAGCGCGTACATTACGGGCTCGCGCTTTTTTATTTTAGCGGCGCCGCCGTGATTGACGTTGCTTCTGTTCTCGTTGTTGGTCCGGCTTTGGTGCGCCGATCGTCATGTGTGTTATTGACCGAAGCCACGGTGTGTCAAACAAAAGGAGGAGGACGAACGAGAGAAAGCTGTGCAAAGCCAAAGTGTTGTGATGATGGGTGTTGTTGTTGGTTTTATGAGGCTGTTTATCTGTAGGAAGAAAAAAAACAAAAAATGTAAAACACAAAAGCAAATGGCGACCATAGACGATGCAAATAAAAATTTAATGCTATTTTATGATACTGCAGCAGCAGGTGTGTTGAGTTTTTTTTTTTTTAAGTTCATACATACACGCGATATAGCTGTCAAAGTGTGACGGTGACATTTTTTTTGTCCCGAACAACGAAATCACGTCTGTTTTTATTTGACCCTTTACAGCTTAGAAACAAGTACTCACAAAAATGTTGACAAAGACTGGTTTTTTTTTTTTTTTTTTTTTTTTTTTCAAAAAACAATGAAACCGAAAAACTGTGCTTTTAACGAAACACAACTTAGGCACGCCGCTCAACACCATCATATACCACGAAAAAAAGACACTAAACCGATGCAGTGTATGAAAAACTTGCGCGCAAATTGAAAATAAAACAAACACAATGTGTAGCAGACAGTTCCGTATCAACGCATGCAGCAGCACTACCGCACATATTATGTACACACATGCTACCAAACATGTAAGTAGAGCAAACAATAATCGAAGGATGAAAAAAAAAAACACTCCGTTCGCGGGAAACAGACGTGACCGTTGGGATTTCTTTTTACTTGGAATAAAGAAAAAAAAATTGAAATTACACTCACCAGAGTTTGGCAAGGATGTAAGGCGACGTGTCTCTCGGTGTTTACTTCTGCTCTTTGTGTGTTATATATATATATATATATGTATATATAAGTATATTTCACGGAAACAACCAGCGTCTCGCAGTTAGAACCCTTTTTCTATTTCTCTTCTGTTCTTCTCCGATTGTAATGAAAAGAAACAAAACAAAAAACTGAAACCACTCACGTCATCAACTATGAAAACAAAACAAAAATCACAAACTAAAGATAGTGCACACAACGATAATCACCCACTGTTCACTTGTATTCGTTTCAAATCTCTTGGAATGTTCCAACTGTCACTCAGTGTAGGTATATGACAAAATCAACTTGATCAGCAGCAACAGAATACTTATATAGGTAAGTTATGTTGTACACTCGCGCGAAAAAAGAGAATGATAAAGTATAGAAGACCTACTCAAAGACACTTTAGCAATCGAAACACTGAAGCACTGCAGAGGCGAACGAACGCCACATAAATAAGGTATGTAATAATACACTGATAAGTATATATTTTCAGTTAACGATGTTGAGAAACGTCAGAGCGAAAGATACTTGTGTATGATGTTGTATACTCGATACGTGCACGACGCAAGCTCAGAATAAGGAGAGAAAGAGGCGCGTGCTAGCGCTTACGGTGGCGCGAAGCGATTAAGCGATTTTGTTGTGGACCCCGATATTCTCCTCGAGTCTTCTCTCGCGCGTGTGTCAGTCTACTCTCTGGCTGTACACTCTTTCTCCTCGTTCCCTTCTCTCTCTCTCTCTCTCTCTCTCTCTGCCTACTCTCCATGCGCGCTCGGTCTTTCTCTCTCATGCGCGTGCATATACATAGGTATACATATATACGCCGCTTTCCACTCCCTCGTTTTCTCCCACCTACTACTATACTTACTACTGCGCTCTTCTCTCCCTTCTCTTTCTCTCCTTCCTTTTACACGCTCTCTCTGCTCTTGCTTCTCTTATATATACCTACACCTTTCGCTTCGCAGCATCACGAGCGAATCCACGAAAAATCACCTGAAAATTTTAGTCACTTTGTTTTTTGTTTTTTTTTCTTTCTATACTGGCTGATTCACAATTTTCGATGCCGATAAAAGCATTTACCAACACCTAGTTGAGCTTATATATTATTAATTAATTACAAATTACCTAAAAATATTAATTAAATTGTCATAAGTTGCATGTCCCACTGCTAATCACAGCTTTTATCTACAAAAGTGGTATTTTTCCTGAAATTTCATGTATATAAGAAAAGTAATTACGAGTTGGGTGGAAACGTGACATTACATTATTTTTGTAAAAAGTTTAGCCATATGCATGAGTAACCTATTTTAGGTTTAAAACTTTATTAATAAATAGATTTTTCGAGCTTGTTATGACCATTGTTTAAATATCTACACATGAGGCATAATTTTTTTTTTTTTATACATTCTAAAATATTTAACAAAAAAATTTTTTTTTTCTTTCGAATAAATTGCATTTTTTTGATGCCAAAGTAGT